AACATAATTAAAATTTACACATAAAATATCAAAGAACAATAATCTCAAATAAAAGAAATAAAGGTCCCAAATCAATTACATTGTTCGCCCTAAAATTAAATTTAGCTGCGCATATTAATAGAGGAAAAACAAGGAATTATGGAAAACATCACCAGATTAATTGACCGAACGTAAATAATTTGCAAGAATGAATCTGTCGTCTTTTTCCGTTTATGCGCGTTTAAATTCTGCCTCCTTTTTTTACTCCCTAAAACTGTCGCCAATGTGTGCATGTATCAGCTCCTTCAACAGCAAGCAGCTTTATTAATTCCTCCCAGCTGCTCCAATTTTTTGTTCGTGTCTTTTTCTCTCCAACAGAAGCTGCCAATCACGTGTATATATATTTAATTCAGCAGAAGGCAGCCTAAAATTTCCTCCTCTCCGTTTCCTGTGCTATTAGAGCCGCAATAATTGACTCCAAAGTAGAGTCCAACCTTTTTTCTCCTCCTTTATTTTCAGCTTTCACGTGTGTAGATATATATAACTACTATATAAAAATGGCAATATTTCACTACTGTAGAAAGAACAATAGATTCTTCCATTTTGTCTCACCGTAGCTTTTTTTATTGAGAGAAAGAAACGACGTCGTTTATCTTACGTGTTTGACGCAGTGACTTTGTTGTTTTTCCTCAATTTACGCGGCGTGGAGAATTATGTCATAGAGCACTCTTTACTCTTTCTCCATTTTTACACGCTACAGTCATGCATCTCTATTTCTCCACACTATCTCTTTCACTATTTTCTCACGCTATCAACCATGTATCTTTAGAAAATTTATTTTTTAGCACATAAGTAAATTTAAATAAAAATATTATATATATATATACACGTAAAAGGTATACATAATAACCATTTGGTTGACTAAAAAATAATATCAATCAAAATGTTTACGAACCATTTAAATAATAATTTATTGAAGAGGTTAATTCAAGAGAAAAAGTGTGAATTCCATAAATATATGATTGAAAATATGTTTGAAGAAAAATAAATTTTAAAAAATGAAGACAAAACATGTTAACAAATGAATATATTTATTTTTCGAGAAATGGATTTTTATTACAATTTCATTTTTATCATGAAATGATTTTAATCTTAATATTTTAAATTGTACTTCAAAATTACATAATCTATCAAATATAATTTTTAAAATTAATTTTTATAAAGTAATATGTTTTTATGATTTTTTTTCTTTTTAGTAAAGTAATATGACGACATGCCTCCATTTAACGGGGGCTCATGCTTGAGCCTCCATAACATATTATTTTATAAAATTAATAAGAATTTAATTATTTCATATTTTTTAGTACTATTATATTTCATCTTCCAAAAAAAATAAAAATCATAAAAACATATTACTTTATAAAAATTAATTTTAAAAATTATATTTAATAGATTATGTAATTTTGAAGCACAATCTAACATATTAAAATTAGAATCATTTCATGATAAAAATGAAATGGTAATAAAAACTCATTTCTCGAAAAATAAATATATTCATTTGTTAACATGTTTGCTTTTCATTTTTTTAAAATTTATTTTTCTTCAAACATATTTTCAATCATATATTTATGGAATTCACACTTTTACTCTTGAATTAACCCCTTCAATAAATTATTATTTAAATGGTTCGTAAACATTTTAATTGATATTATTTTTTGGTCATCCAAATGGTTACTACATACATTTTACGTACATATATAAAAATAATATTTTTATTTAAACTTACTTATGTGCTCAAAAATAAACTTTTTAAAGATACATGGTTGATAGCGTAAGAAAATGGTGAAAGAGATAGTGTGGAGAAATAGAGAAGCATAATTGTAGCGTGTAAAAATGAAGAAAGAGTAAGTCTCCATTATTTTATATATTTATTTTAGGAATATTAAAAAAATTAAGTGGATTAAATAAAATTAAATTATTATGCTGAGAACCAATGAAGGAAAAATAAAGTAAAAAAATGCACGCTTGAGCCTCCGTAATTACGGAGGCTTTATCTCCACGAAGCCTCCGTAATACGAAGGCTTTATGGAGGCCTCCATAAAACCTCCGTATTATGGAGGCTTTCCTCCATAATATGGAGGTTTTATGGAGCCTCCATAATATTTTTTTAATATATACTAAAATTATTATTATTTTTTTAATGTTGTTGGCATGATGCGTGCGTGGAAGAATATTTGTCAATTACCATAAACAAATTTTTTTTACAAAATGCAAAAAATAAAAATGCATAATAAATCTTCTTATTACGTTAATAAAATTACAATAATTTTTTTTTACAAATAATATAAAAAAATCATTTTTATTTTCAACAAAAAAATACATTTAAAAATTAACAATTTCATAACTACTTTTTTTTTCTTAAAATTTTCGGAAATACAATTATAAAAAAGAAAACAATATTGAATTACAACATTTAATATTTAAGAAATTCAATATTAAATAAATATTATACATTTATAACAAATTATAAATCTATCATGCAACTTGCCATATTGGCAGGAAGTTTACTGTATATGCTGTCTACCGTATTTGCACCTTACCGTATTTTGCACCTTACCGTATATGTTGCCTACCGTATTTGTAACTTACCGTAAACGCTGCCTACCGTATTTGCAGCTTGCTGTATTTTTATATACCGATTTTTACACTTACAAATACCGAGAATGCAGAACACGGTACATTCACTTACCAAACCGAATTTCAAAAAAATTTCCAGATTATTATTTTTTCAACATAAGCATAAAATAAATATTAAATACATATGAAGTACAAAATATAAATACATATAAATATGGTGCCAAGAGAAATCAGTATCATAGTTTTACGTTACAAATAATTTTTTTTTCAATTTAAAATTCTTTTTAATTCTTTTCTCTTCAAAATTTTTACTTACAAGTAACTTTTTATAAAATATTTTCTGTCTTATACAATCTTTATTTTTTTATTTTTTGGGAGGTATGAAAATTGCGTGTTGCAGTCTTTTCTTACAGTATAAATATTTTTTAATTAAAATTGAAAAAATTAAATATTTTCATAAAGAAAAAAAATTTAAAAGTATTTTAAATCGAAAAAAAATATATTCATAATATGAACAAAACAAATAATAAATAAATAAATGAGGAAAAAAATAAATAACGAAAAAGAAATCTCCATGCATCCTGCGCTAATATAATGAACCAAACGATTAGATTTCACCAAATGCTTCGAATCTTCAACCAATTTTGAAAAATTACAATTTTGACGCTAATAAAAATATAATAAGTACAAAACTCGTGTAACGCACGTGTCAAATACTAGTTTATATTAACACTTTGTACAAAGTTTGACTTAAAAAGGACTCCTTAAAGTTGCTACTCAAATAAATACTTGCAATATTTCCCTCCAATCTTTCATCTTTTCATAATAATGCACTTTAATCCTTCAATTCATATAGTGTAGACATTGATATCCAAACTTTGCGTCCAATAGCCAATTTAGTCCTCGTACTTTGAATTTTGTCATTTTTCTCCCATTTTTGCTTCATTCCTTCAATTCCCTTTTTGTTTATAGAATTTCACCTATTAAACATAAAATACAAAAATTTAGAATATACTTTGTCAAAAGAACCATCAAATGTCGCTATTTAAAGTACCAAATAAGTGTATAAAATACACTTATCAATAGTGATTCCTGGCTGTCGGCGGCACTCAATGAGTGATGTGAGACTTCGATTATCACGTGTTTACCTTAAAGAATCACGTGTTTTAGCTCTTGTTTGGGTCCAAATTTTTAACATTTATTAGTGACCAAAATTAAATGCTGATATATAGCTCAGAGACAGAGAACAAAAATTCCTTTATTTGCATCAAGCTTAATTTCAAGGGGCTCATTCAAAACTGACTCGAACTATCACTCAACAGAAAATAAGGGCTTTGGTTTAGGCTCACGGGGATATGGATTCGTCATTTGTGGATCACTCGGATAAACGAAGTAATTCATGAATAGGGAGTATCTTATAGTTATAGTATATCAATACATGATCTATACAAGAGATAATTGCTTTTTAGTCAAATTCATTTTTATTCACAGATTTTGTGATACTCACCATTTTTATCAGATTTTCAATCATGCATTTCATCAACTTTATAAAATTCTATTAAAATAATCGATTTTTAGCCAAATCAAACATGGGCTTCATTTTGTGTTCAACATATTCACCGGATGCAACAATTTTTTTATAAAATAGTAGAGGTAAGACTTTAACCAAGGGTTTGAACCCTCGGTGAAATAGTAAAGAGAGAGGGAGAAAAACAAAAGAAGCAATATGCAGCTAAATCATGACCCAATAATTCAAGAAAAGTTTTGTTTAGCATAAATTGCAAATTCGATCTCTAACCTTTGCCTAAACTTGCGATCTTGTCCTAACCTTTTTTCGACTGGTTTTTTACCAAACTTCAATTCCTTGCCTAATTTCTGGACGAATGCGACTGTAATGCATTGACACCACCCTCTTGCTGCCAGAAGAAAAATAGTCTCCATTCCGTCACTTTAACTATAACGGAGTGTCCTCAAATAAGATTATGATGAATTTTAAAAATTTACAATCCTAATGAATTTTGTTAATTTAAATAGATTTTCACAAATTTTATAAGAATCTCATTAAATATGGTGAAATTTCAAAATATTTGATGATATGTATTTTTATGCTTGAAATCTATCAAAATCTTTTAAAATCTCTCTACTATTAAAATCTTCATAAATTCACTAATTGGATATATTGAATTTAGAGTAATGCTTGAAATATATAATGGATATCATAATTATGTGCACCGACGCTCCCGCCAATAAGAGAACGTAATTTGAACTATGGACACCATTATGATATCCATTATATAAAGTAGAATAATCCTTGAATTTAATTAAAATCTTATCGGGACACCTAAATTTTCCATTAAAATCTTGATCGAGGAAATGACTTTTAAAATCCAGAGCCGTCTCCACACACACACACGCACATAGAGACTCACACACAGTGAATTTCAGTTTCAGTTCCGGGATAGATTTTACATACATGGAAAGTTTGAATGTATTATCATCGTCTTCAACTGCCAAACCCGGATTATCTTCTCAACAAATTCTCAAAAAATCGACATTCTTCAGGCCTAAGACCCTAGTGCCCCGTCAAACTCCCAATAGGAAAATCTCCATTCCCATTCTGAAGGCCCAGCAGGTAATTTTCTGCCTCCTTTTATATTCATATACATAAAATTTTATCATACGGGCGTGTGTAATATTCGATGGGTCTTATTAAATTGGAAGTAATTGTGAGTTTAAATTGTATTGGGTTGCTTCTTTTGTGGGTTTTTAGTTAATTTAATCGATTAATTGTTGCTTCGCGTAAAGAATATTATAGTACTAAAGAAATTATTTGTTTGTAAGTGGCTGCAAAAAAAAATTGGTGCAAATGCTTGAAAGCTATGAACTTTATGTTAAATATTAAGAGATTACAATACAATTTGATTGCCCTTTCTAGTCTGAATTGAAAGATGGATCAGCCACGGTATCGGAATCTAGAATTTCTGAAGGAGATGCACTCAAAGTTAAAGAGTGGGAAGTGGGGATGTTCCAAAATGAAGTAGCTGCAAGCCAAGGGATAAGGATCCCCCCCCCCCCCCCCCCCCTTTTTTTTGGTGTGTGGGATGTGGGTATGACCTCTCGAGAATTGAAATAGGTATTAATGGTTAATAGATAGTGATTTGTAGATGAAGGAGAGAAAACCACTTTTTACATTGAAGAAAGCACTTGACAATGCTCCACCTGTTCGCAATTTTATTGGAGCTCTTAAGGCAGCGAATTCTCAAACTGGATTACCTGGTCTGATTGCTGAAGTGAAAAAGGCCTCTCCAAGTAGAGGAGTTCTTAGAGAAGATTTTGATCCTGTAAGTTTGCAATTTTAATTCGCATTAGCTGAAGTAAATATTGTCTCAAATGGTGGCATCACAATTGTGGGTGTTCTGTGCTCAACATTCGTTTTCTAAATTTTTTGACTCTGGTGATAGAAGAAATCTCCAACTGTTAGTTTGATGCCCATTTTTCGAGTAGTGTTATGTAAAACACATTATGAATTTACGTTCGTTTATTTGCGTGTTATAATTTGAAGTGATTGTCTAAGGTTCCATGATCATATAGGATGTCATAAATTGTATACTAGATCGATCGGGTATAGTAAGACACAATTTGTGATGTGATCAAAATTATGTCCTCACAATCGGTTCATAAAGTTGGACGCTTTATGTTGATAAGATTGTATTGTTCTTATTAAGATTTGTCTAGATCTTGAAATAGGAACAATAACGTGTTTCGATGCACATTGAACGGGACCGCGTAGATGACCGATTGAAATGAGACTCTACTTGATTATCAAACAGGTCACCTAAATCCTAAGTGAGTAATGTACCTTTGAATGCTAGTTCAAATTCTTTGAAGTATCAATGAGTGAAGTCTTAAATAGAAGATTGATCTCGGTGCTTTGGGAATCGGGCCGAAACCATTAGAGATCATATACCTACAATATTGGAATCCATTAATCATTGAGATGAGACGATCGTCACTCTAAGGTATTTTCCTAGGCAAATTGAATCTGAGCTCAGTAGGTCGACGATGAGATTGTTGGACTTTACATT